AAATGTAAGTGTTGACATCATATCTGTGTCGAGTTAAAATTTTAAATCATTCAAGTTTTATTGGATCGTGACAATTATAAAGTTACAAATTTTACTGATGCAAGGTGAAAATAAAACTTTTCTAAAAATAAATTGTATAAGGTTTAATTAAAAGTGTCGAAGTAATTATGACGCTAAAATTATTTAATAACAATTAATCAATCAAGTGTTCGGCGCTCTACACTTTCGCAATTTCAATAAATGCTAATCACCAAATGCTAATCACTAAATGCTAATTAATTTTAACTACGCATAACAAACTAAAAAATAAGAAATTGGCCAACATAAAAATGAATGAAGTTAAATGACGAAAGACAAAGAAGGAATAAAGAAAGAGCGTGTGTGTTTAAGGAAAAAAGAATACTTTGTTGCTCTAAGAGAAACCCATTGTACAGTATATGTTGTCAAGAATTGATATGCAAAGACTAAAAATAGAATGATCTTTCGGGTTGATGTAATATTATATGTAATTCCATAATTTAAATTCATTACGTGATTTTATACTTAATTTATTTACTGAATTATAAACGTACTTAAAATATTCGGTCTTTATTAAGAGAAAATGTGGCAAAATCTATTGAAAGTTCATACTTATATTGTAATAGGTATTGATTCGACGACAGAAATTTTATTTACTGCCGATAAATCCTTGTTTTTAAATGGGTGTAGCTATTCCTTATTTTCCAAAGAACTTTCGAAGAGAAAAACTTCCACCAAACATAAAAATTCAAATACAATCGACGTCCGAATTATTTGTTAAGTGTTGGAAGATTTCTAGTAAAACCAGGTTCCGAGAAATTTTTAACTAAAATTCAGATCTTAATGCATTTTAATCTAATAATTTCAATAATTAAAATGCAATAAAAATCTCAACTTTATTAAAAAATTCCCAGAACCTGACCTGATTTTCCTAGCAATCAACCCATATATATATTATACGTTATTATTAATTGACTATTTTCAAATCTAGGGAATGAAATAAAGTCAATTCAAGTATAGAATCATTTGAATATCGAAGAGAGATATATAATTAGGAATCAACAATGAAATCATTATTCAAGCAGTTGGTTAGTTTTGCGAAGGATTCTTCAATATTCGAAATCATTTTGACAATGAATATCAAACCCTTGGATTCGAATATTTAATTTTATTTATTTCCAAATGAAAATTGAATATCTTACATTAATCTTAATTAAATTGGTAATAAAATATTAGATCAATTAAGATACTCGTTAAAGGCGTAATTTTATTTATAATGAAGAAAATGAAGAAATCAAGGATACACAAAAATTTTACTAAAAATTTTGATCAGCATTCATATCGATATCCACTCCCGATACGTACTGGTATATCATTTGTTTGTTTTCCTCCGACGATGAAATATTAATTGAAGTTGAAAATAAAATTTATTTATTTATTTTCCAGTGAATGTTATTTTTCACGAAAATTTTATTAATTTCCACGACATAATGAGAGATAAAGTTTTCTTATAAAGGTTTAAATTTTCGGCGTATGATTTCAAGTCAATAAATTGTTTACGTGTGTAAAAGTGCGAAAATGCAAGCATAATCTGAATAAATTCGTTCGGTTTTAATAAAAAAAAACTCCCGTTTGAAACGATTTTATTGAAGTTCAGTTGAATCCGGGTCTAGTTTTGATTAATCATTAATGAAGATAACGATAACTTTTTTTTAAAAAAAAAATAAAAAAAAAAAATACACATTATTATAAAATTTTACATTGATGAAAACTATTTTAGCCAATCATGATATGCCAATTTGAACCACTGTGAATTTTTACATTTTAGTCTTTGCATTATTAATAAAAGTCGTCTTTTTGGTTGTATTATAATAATTATAAGATTATTATTATAGTTTAAATTAATATATATATTATATGTACACGCTTGTCCTATATAAGTTATAATAAATTAGCATATCAGATCGCAAAGATCTTTCTTCAATAATATATCTACTTATATTACCTTTTATATATAATTTCAAAAATAATTTGATGTTCAGTTTTCAAAAAATTATTTAAAAATTTGGTAATGAGGTTTTGGCTGAAATTAAATTGTTTCACGGAAGTTGATGATAGTAACTCAAGCAAAGTAATAACGATGCCTTTTCTGAAAATTTTTAACTTAAAATCTTTTTGCGATATTACACTACACTACACCTAGCACATGATAATTCTCTAATTAATTCTCCCCAACCTCCACTTAACACTAACCCTACGAAACTTCAATCTTACGGCAAATCCTAGCCACACGCAATTCTAGAACTTGTTCAAAAACATTGTTCGATATGGTGGGTGTCTCAAGCGATTATCTCACAAAGACCGTAATTGTTAGGAATAAAGAATGTGAGAAAACAAAGCGTCTATTTCGTTTTTTCAAAGTTGATTCATCCTTTTTTAATTTTCCTTACGTTTATTTTAAATTAAAACTTAGAGTATACAGAAAATTTCTCCGAATGAAACGAAATAGGAAGGTAATTAGGATCGTCATGAACATAAATATAAAATTGACTAAAAATAGCCTCATAAGTTCGAATTGGTCGATTGTTACCTCGGTAACCTTGTTACAATGCGAATGTTCGATGGTGAAACGAACATTTCAATTTCGGTACATCATTTTACAATGGGAACCTAATTGTTCAAAATTTTCTATATTTGCTCAAAGGTAACTTTTAAATAATTTATAAATATTCATTGAACGTTGTTACACTACACTTTCATTGATTTTTCGTAAACACAATGAATTATCATTTTCATTTTCATTTTCATTTTCTTTTTCCTTTTCCCTTTTTTTTATATTACTATTATTATTATTATTATTATTTTTATTTTTTATTTAATTAATTGTTTCATCAAATGTTACATTTCAATTAAATCAATTAATTGATTTAATTGATTTTGATTTACAGAAATTTATCGAAATAAGGTTTCATTGAAATTCCGATCATGTGGTACAAAGGTACAAAATTGTACGAGGATCGGATAAGTTTAATTGGTCAATTGAGGTCATGTTAGCTAAAATTTTACAAATTATTAGCCGAATTCTGATCAACAAAAAAAAAAAAAAGATCCTGAAATTATTTTTAAAAAAATATAGCAATTATTTTTGTCGCCAATCATTGATTTTCGGTTTATCAATTCTTATTTGTATTCATCACACTATCTCAGGATTTGAATAAACCTTGTAAACTAATATATAATTTTTTTATTTACGTAATTGATTATTACACAGACTGATTTTTATTAAATATATTTTTTGCATGTATGGTAAAAGAATTTTGACCAATCATCTAAATTTCGTAACATCTCATTTGAAAAATCGACGAGATTAATAAGATTTGCACGTTGGATACGAATGATGATAAATATTTGATGTGATTTTTAATTGAGATTCAAAGAAACAAAATCTGAAATATATTTAAACAGCATTTCCGTTCCGTTATTTTATAATACATGGAATTTATGTGATTCTCGAACATTGTCATATGGTCATTATTAATTTATTTTCTTTCTTTTTTTTATTAAAAATAAAAAAAAAAACGTAATGCAGTAATAAAATTTTTAAATTTTATTTCATCCCTTAGATTTTATCGACTGTCAACAGAATTGGTGTGAATTACGTAATGGATTCATCGTACAACTATCACCAAGTTGAAATTCTTTGGAGGATTTTTTTTTTTGCTCGAATAAGCCTTACCAGTATTGGTAATTCTCGACAGAGAATTTGTATTTTATTTTTCTAATGTATTACGTTTTCTAAAACTTGAAACGAGGAGAGTGCCCCGTAAAACTTCTTTTATAAACATGAATTAAAAATTAAATTTAATATCGATCCACCGATATCCCGTAATCTTTTTTTTTTTTCCCTCCTTTGTTCAACAGTCAGAAAAGAAAACCGGAATATCAAACCTTTGATTAAAAAAAAAATTAAAGGATTTTCAAGAGCAAGAAATTTTTGATCAAATGATCCGAATACGTTGTTGGTTAATTGATTGGTTATTTGGACTGTAATGCGCTTTGTATCTAACTAATAAAGCATGAATCGGGAATACTTTTTTTCTTTTTTTATTAAAAAAAGACAGAAAATAAAATTAGAACTTCTTTCCTTCCATTTTAGCTCGTTCAATAAAAAAAAAAAAAACTCTAATATAAATTAAACACAATCATGCTTGTTCTTGATAATCACACAGTAATCCAGGTACATCACGAGATGCCTCGGTTTTTTCTGCCTATTCGCATACGAAATGTAAAAAAAGATTTTTCCCCACCAAAAAAAAATAGTGTTTTGATAGATTAAGCTTGTTTATTGTTTAAATAATAAAGAGGTACGCTCATTTAATTTTCGATAATTGATAAAACAAAACAGAAATATTTACGTAGTAAAATTCGAACCTTCGAATGCAATGGCTCTTGTTACTCATCTCATCCAATAGAAATGATTAATTGCAGTACTTGGCGGAAAAAAGTTTAATGATCTACAATCTTACGGCATTGATTGCATGGAAGTTTCTCAAAACACGGACCATAAGGCAATACAAATAGTTTTTACGACTAATATAATCGATGTGCTTCTAGTAAGTCGTAGCAAGGTAAACATTTAATAATGATACAGTCGAACGACTTTGTTTTTATTTTTTTTTAAAATAAGATTAGATTTAACTTAAACTATATATAATACATTAATACATCGTGTAACGATTAATGATCCACGCGATTAACTGTGCAAATAAAATAAACTTAAAAAAAAATACTTCTAATAAAGAAAAGCTAGCTATAATGACAGGAAGGTATGAAGGTACGTAAAAATTTTTGTGTCACAAAATAATAATACAGGTGGAGGTTTTTTTTTTTTTTTCTTTTTTTTTGCTTTTTGCTTTTTTTTTTTTTTTTTTTTTTTTTTTAATAAAAAAAAGTCCGGGAAAATTTATTTTATACAATATCATTTATAATTTTTTACCATATGCTCGTGTATATTTATTATACATTCGTGTCGTTTTGGTCTCTTGAAGGTAATCATCTAGCAATGAATTGATTTCATTTTTCGTTAATTTCATTTGCTTTGCCAATATATCCTTTAATCCAAGTAAACCGCTAAAAATAATTTGTCCATATAGTGCCCCTACAAGAAAGGAAAAAGGTCGCATTAGATTAAATTTCGATAATTTCGGTAAAATTTCAGTTATTAAAGGTTAATGCATGATACGTACCAACTTTACCGTCTAATTCACTTGTTGGAAGTAGCACGTCTTGTCGGGTGACATGCTTCAATCCAGATTTTTCCAATAATTCATGTAATTTTTCATTTATAAACGGATTCATTGATCTCGAATTTAAGAATTTTATCACTAAAGGAAAAAAAAAAAAGAATAAATCAAGTTAAATAAAATTCTTAACCGAACTAAGAAATGTGCGCTCCCCATTGCACACTCACTTTCATTGGATATTATTTGACTTATGGGTCCCATATTCAGCGAGGCCATTTCCGGTTCGCTTAATTCTAGATATCCATTGGGTTTAAGTAGATCAACCAGTCCCTTTATAATTATTTCATATTGTTCTTCGGTAAAGCATAAAGTCATATTTCTCATATGGATAAAATCAAATGAATTGGGAGGGAATGGTATCCCTTGTAATATATCTTTCTTTAGGAATTTCGTATTTGATGGATGAATGGTCGGTAGCATAAATGATTGTATTTCGACTCCCGTGAATTGTGATTTGGGAAATTCTGATGACATGTCAAATATCCATGTGCCTGGACCAGCACTAAATGTTTGTGAAAGGAGAGCATGATTAAAAAACGTGATTCATAAAGTTTCAGCAAAACAGGTGTCAAATAACCTACCCGACATCCAAAACTTCGATACCTCGTAGCAAATCTCGAGTAAGTGGCGCGTAAAAATTGGTGTTGTTAAAACCCGACTTCAGAATATGATGCATTTGTTGTATTCTGTCGATTTGCAGTTCATTAATTTTTATTATGTAATTTCCTTCAAACGTTTCTTTTTGTTTTAGCTTCCTTGATATTGATAATTTGTTTCCCATATTTAATGATAATTTATGAAAAGATTATATAACCAGAAAGATGAAAAAATGAAATATCAAAGAAGAAAAATAAAAAGAAACAAATGAAGGAAAAAAAAAAAAAAAAAGAGTGTAGAGAGGGATGACAAAAATTGTATATATATGAAATATATATATTTTTTTATTTCCAAAGTAACCGATCGATATCTTTATAAAAAAGATCGTTTTTTATAAAAAAAAAAAAAAAAAAAAAAATTATATATTTATACTTTTTTTTTATTTTCATTATTGTAAGACATTACGTGCATTCATGTGACATAAATAGAAACAATCACCATCAATCCTACCATTACCAACATTTCATCCCCTATCCATTAAATATTTATGATACACAACATTTTTTTTTAGCTTCATTCAATCGTATCCCAAAACATATAAGGTTATCTCTCGATATGTCTCATTTTCACATAATAAGGAAGAAAGAAAAATTGCACAAACAAAAAATACAACAATGAATTGCGGTTTCTTCCTTTCATACATGTTTACACGAATTACGTCAAAAAATTCGGCAGGGTTCGAAGCCACAACCTTAAACGGAAATATTTAATTAAATAAGGTTAACAACTTTATCATTCTAACCTTAACACAACGAATTAAAAGGTACAATGCGGCTACGCAAATAATTTTGTTATAGTTTCAAAGTTGTGTCACTCTTTTGGGTGGGGTTCGATTGGCCGAGGGCGAAATTTTTTAAAGTTTATTGCAAAACTACTGGAAACGACCGATTCCTTCAAAGATTCCGAAAATTCTTAAATTTTCCGCGGTATTACTAGGAATTTCTGAAGGCAGGTGGGAACCAACTTAAAGATATTATTATTGAGATATTTTATGGGAAACAAAATATAAATTTCTACTCATCGAATGTGATTTTTATTTATATTTGTTTATTTATATATAAGTACACTATATCTTTTGGCCATAAACTCGTGTATACTTTGAATACATTCTTATTGACTGTAACTCTTTTCGATAATCATTTACTAATTGACTCGCTTCAGGACCTGTTAATTTCATTTGCTTTGCTAGCATATCTTTTACGCCGAGTAGTCCACTAAAAACAGTTTGTCCATGCAATGATCCTACGAGGATTATGTAATAAATGGTTTGAGATCAAAAATGGTAAAATAAAAGATAAACAATAAAAAAAGGGCTAAACTGATAACTCACCAATTTTCCCATCTAATTCGCTTATCGGGAGCATCACCATTCCTCTTTGAACCGTTTGTAGGCCAAATTTCTTCATAAATACGTGCAACCGGCTAGCCATAAATGGATTCATAGACCTCTGTATTAATATTTTTCCCACTAGTAAACAAAAAGAAAATTAATCATCAAATAAGTAGCGATCAATTTTATTTGTCAGCAGTTCATTCGTCGCTTACTTTCATCGGAAATCTTTCGAGTGACAGGTCCCATATTATAACAACTAATGTCCTGCTCGCATAATTCCAAGTAACCGTTTGGTTTAAGTAGGTCAATTAATTCTCTTATAATTTGTTCATATTGATTTTCGGTAAAACATAAGGTCATGTTTCTCATGTGAATGTAATCGAACGAATTCGGAGGGAAGGGTATTCCTTGCAATATATCGTTATGTATGAAATGTGTATTTGATGGGTGAATGGTCGGCAACATAAATGATTGTATTTCGATCCCCGTAAATGTTGATCTAGGAAAGTCCGATGACATATCAAATATCCATGTACCCGGTCCCGATCTATTAGGTAAAAGAAAAAAATGTTAAAGATCTCTTTCTTTCTCGACGGTAACACAAACGTCTCTATTCAAACCTACCCGACGTCCAACACCCTAATACCACGCGCCAAATCCTGAGAGATTGGCGCGGAGAAATTCGTATTATCACAGCACGTTTTTAAAATGTGATGTAATACTTGAATCCTATCAATTTGCTCTTCATTAACTTTGATCATATAATTTCCATCGTATGATTCTTTCTTATTCTTCGTTGATAATGAGATACCCATGCTTTTTACTTTTGACGAAGAGATAGGGAGGAATTCTAAAATACAAGGTATTCGAATGGATTTTTAAGAGAATTTTGAAAGACCTTTGAAAAGAAAGTATGAATTGGATTGATGATGAATTTTTTTTCTTGAAAAAAAAAAAAAATTAAAAAAAAAAAGAAAGGTACGTTTTCAGTAAAGAAAGTGATCATTTTTTTTGTCACATAAATGAAATATATATGTTGAAATTTTTTTAAAGTTTATTAATTTTTTATTTTATATTATATTATTATTATTAATTTTTTTTTTTTTATTAAATTTATTGTAGAACATTATGTGCATTTGTAATCTTTTTATTTTATGTTGCGTCTATTTGTCACCATAAGAATGTGGTTACATCGCGTTGCCATATTTGGAAATGAATAGATTATTCTTTTCCAAGTTCTAAAATCAGATTCACTCCAACTCGGGAAATTCAATATTTTGTGCATGTCAAATGTATTAAGCGTGAAAAAAAAAATATATTTAAAAAATTAATATATTCTATGGTGAGTTGTGTTAATTGTTTAGCACCATATGTATGTGCTGTGCTATAAAGGAAAAACCTTACATGAATCTAATAATTTTTTTTCCTGCAAGTAAATCGTCAATGCTTAATTTCCGATTAAAAAAGTAAAATCATTCGATTTTCATCATGTCCTCTCTTTTTTCCCCCTTTTTTTTTTTCTTTCTTTGCTTCCTTTAGAAGTACTTTTCTTCCACGCAATTCAAGCTCGGAGTTGGAATGTGGGAATGGTATTGGGGGATTACATGACGTTTTAAAAAATTCAACCTGCTCGGCATTTCGGAACTTCGGAATTTCGACCGGCATCATGCAAACAAATCCCCATCAAAGTAAATTACACAAAAAAGTTCCAAATCCAAAAATGTGACTGTTGAAGAAACCGACCGATAATTCGGTATCCGTAAAACATTTGATCGAATTTGTTAAGCTCTCGGAAATATATACTATAAATGTCAAAGTGTTTATATAGGCTGAGTCATCAAATTTTAGGCAGGAGTTGGTAAATCTTACCAGAATTATTCGGCAATGTGACTTTCTCCGTGTTTATTATATGCATGATTGGAAATTTTGTGATACTAACGTGTACGTGTAGGATTTCATTTCCTCATTGAAAACTACCTTTTCATTAATTTTTGAAAGGATCGACGGATCTTTATGAAAAAATTTCTCGATTATTTAGTTAACGTTAATGGTTCAAAGAGAAAATCTTTAATCAATTGAGAAAATATAAAAAAAAAAAAAAAATTAAATTATCTCGTCCATTGAGAATTGAAATAAATTCGCCCCTTACTTTATAAATAGATCACTTTCATGTAAATAGTAAATTATGACATCTTTGATAATTTATTTATTTAATAAACTCTCACGATTAGGATGATTTTATTTTTCTTTAAGAAAAAATCATCAATCAAATTCACAACCTTTCAAACAAATCAAATTTTTTATTCCCTTGTTTGAATATAGTATCTGTGAAAGATTTCATCTAAGTCGTTATCGTGGTTTCTTTTTTTATACGCCCCTTAATTGCATTTCCTTATTCAAAACTAACCCCGCCTTTTATTCATAGGTGCCCTTCCCTCATCATTTCAAAAAAGATGTTTGATTTTTTTCCGAAATTCGCAAAAGTCTATCAGACATCAATATATTGAATGCATGAATTGCAACGATAGAATGTATTAAGGAAATTGAGGAATTTTCAAGTCTCGCTCAAAGATTCAATCGAGTTCAGCTCTCCTGCTAATAACGCAAGAAATTGCATCCATCCACCATAACTTCTTGCATTCTACAATTGGAAATTTTAAATGTAAGATAATAATTATTGTCATTGGGTCGCACAAAATTTAAAAGCATTACATCACAACTCATCATTTGAAACAGAAGGTTTCTCCAATCATTGTTGTAATCGTTAATCGTTATAATTCAAATACAAAATGAATTATTAATTCATTTGATGATTATTTTTATCCTCATCACACAACTTTGTAATGCGTATTTATAAATAGTTTTAGGTAGAATTCTCGGGAAACGCGACTTTTTTTTTTAAAAAAAAAAAAAATGTTGACATAGTATAGGGAGATTGGAAAAAGGATTTAAATCAAGAAAGCAAATTTTGTTTGACATGAATTATCAAAATCTTGTCCCAATCGGGGAGAAGAAAAAGATATTAGCACCGGTGACGCAAGTTTGATTCGAGGTTCATTGAATCGACTTGATATTTTTATAGTTGGTAAATATTAAAAAATTGTACTCACTACCAACCTGTAGAAAAACAAGATTTGATTATCGAAAATGCCTGAACGTTGTTAAAAAGGAAATCAAAAAAGAAATAATATTGATGCACACATCCGGGTACTTGCGCGGTTGGTAGATGAGTGCGCAAAAAAAAAAAAAAAAAAAAAAAATAATTACATCATATTATATACTAATGAAGAATATAAATGTTTGAATCAGAAATTCACAATTTTGGTTAGTAGTGCCTTAAAATAAAATTCACCCAACCATTTGTAAAATTCAAACAACCAACGGCAATTCAACGGAAATTCTTAAAAAAGCTTCTATAATTATCAAAAGTAGGTGTCACGAACCATTTTGGATATAACCGCGTCCCGGCCGAAGTAGTCTGTTTGTGTATTTTCGGCAACTCGATTTGATTCTAAATCAATATAACTTTTTCTTTGTTGTTATTATAACTATTCATTTTTCATGTTTGTTTCCGGTAGGTAACACAGATATCAACCAAAAAAAAAAAGAGATAGACAAATCATAATCCGATTTCTATGAACTATCAAATTGCGTAATAATGCATGTATTACGTATGAAGTATTATGTTTTGAATTGATTACGGAACGCACGATTTTGGATTTTTATTTAAAAAAAAAAAAAAAAATTTAAAAATATAACTTATTATAATAAATTTATGGCATCATCTTATGCCATGCAGGAAAAAACAAAACTGCAAAATAAAGAAATAAAAGGTCCCTTTGTGTTCATTTATAGTGCATCAAATGCTTAGTTAAAACAACGAAGAAAAATTAATATTTTTTTTTTTTGATCAACTTTAAAATATTCTGCGGCATAAAAGGGAGAATGTTGTAAATCTACGAGAAAAATTAAATAAATTCGTATTATAAATTATAAAGTAAAATGTTAAAATATCAATTACAAGTATAGAATTTCAGTAAAGAGAAAAGTTGTTGAAAAACTACTTCTAAATGATGAACTTAAGGGAAGGATAAAGGTTCCAAGAAACATTCGTCAGGTGAAAGCAAAGACTCGAAATTGTTGCCATCACTAAAGGCGGCACCGTTAAAGAAATTTTGCTCATTATTATTACTAGAAATTTGTGGAACCGTTATTCTCGAAATAAGATCAATAGTGCTAGGGGTATTGATCCAATCACCTCGCGAAACGTGGTTTCGATTTAGAATATTCGCATCGTTTGCCAAGTCTATGAATTGACCTCTTTGAAATGAAGTCGAATGTATGTTCCATATATAAATCATTGCTAAATTGATCAGATGTCGATTATAGATTTGTAACCTTTGAGATTCGCGCACTAAATTTCGCTTCATCAAACCATTTCCTGTTAAAATTTGAACCCTTCCATTACTTCTTGATTGAATAGAAAGTATTTGCACGTTGCCATTATAAGGAAGACGATATATATCATCATAGTGGATGGTTCCTAAAAAATCATTTAATTTCGTCCTAATTGACCGATTAGAAATCCTTGTAAATCGTTGATAATTCATTTAAAAAGAGACTTTGGGAATTATTTAACTGATAAGAGAGAAAGTGTGCTTGGCTTGGATATTTATATTGGAATCCAAAGATATTTTTTTGAGTAAAAAAAAATTCATCTTGAATGATAAGTGGTAGTAGTACGGTACGTGTTTTCTTAAAAAAAAATTAAATATATACATAATTTAGAAGTACAACAACAATACATCTTCGTTTAATACGCGTAACATATGCAAGAATTTGAACAAACAAGAATTTTACATGTGTGCTTATAGATATTATTTATATTGTGTTAGATAAAATAAATGTAAACCGAAAATTTAAATATAATAAATGATATTACAGTTTCGTTACGCGTCAATTTATCATACATTTATTGGTCGGAAATTTCCCTCATGAAGTTCATGCAATGATATATTATATACACCTTGATGGTGGTAAATCTAAAAAATCAGATTACAAATAACAAATTACCTGTAAGATTCTTAAAATCTTTAGGATCGTGTCTAAAAGTAATTCCGTGTATCATCAACATACCAAGTACACAATCTAGTTGATAGTTGTCCCACTTATTTATTCGGAGAATAAAAAATGCCTGGAAGATTATTTTTAAAATGGCATATCAGTTGATCTTGTTTATAACAAAAGAACAAAAGAAACCAATTCATATTGTCTTGATAAAATTTTAGATTACCTACATTGGAAGTTGAATAAAGAATAATCCATTTAGTTAAAAGCCTCACTCCTTCAAATGAATTGATTTTATAACTTCAAATGACAGTCCAGTCATCTTATCAACACATGCATGGCATCAATAAATATTGTTTAGGCAACAAGATCATGATTAGTCAGTAAATAGCCCATGGGATTCGTTTACTTATGCTATGTTTTGACCACTCCACTTAAGATAATCGGTGTTAGGTAATATTTTACTATATATTTATTATAAAACAAATATTTTTATATAATCAACTTAATGAGCATAGTACATCAATTTTTATTTAGAATGAATGTATGACATGAGATTAAAAACCATTTTGAAATGACCCGGGAGAAGACAATCCGGGAAAGTATTACAAACATTTTCATCATCTTAAAAATGTACTAATAGTCTTAAAAGAACTTTACATATTCTGACTTGTAAAATATAAAATTAATTTAATTTATCCTTTTTAGTAAGGTTCGGAGTTCATGCCGACTAATTCCGGACGATCAAAAATTCCGGACATCGGATCAAAAGTTCCGGAGTTCAACATTGACATAATTGATTCGGATTTAAAAACTTGCCGTTGAAAACCGTGATCCATGACTGCGCTAAAAATAAGTCATGTGATCTAAATGATCGACATAGTTGACGAAGTTGACAAAGTTGCTAAAGTTGTC